TGTTTGCTTCCTTGGGTCTCAGACATTACCTAGAGATTTTCTTTTGCAGTATGTAACCATTCTTGCTTCAGCTATCAATCTGTGCAGTAAGACTTCTGCTCCAGGTGCAGAGACTCAGCAAAAACAATGTGCCTGTCACAGTAAAGCTCACCTCATGGTCACCAGTAGAGCAACAAATTCTCCAAGATGAGCATGAGGACATAAGTAAGATCTGATGGCAAAAATTGAACCTCCAGAACAACAAAGCATAATTTTGAAGTCGTAGTGAACAAGAAAGAATTAGAGGTAATCACTATAGCCATAGAAACCCTCACGAAGACACGTTGACCACACTCCACAGCCTCGCTCAGAGAGAAGGCAAAGGAGGCAATTTCCCTTTCTATTTTCAGAAATTGTTACAGCCAATTGAAAGCTAATTCAACCACTAGCAACTCCCTTCCCGGAGAATGCATTAAATAAGGAGAATCGTGAGTTAGATTTCTCTCATGGCTAGATCATCTCTTTCTGAAGAGATCATGACCTCTTCAGTAAGAATTCTCTGTATACATCTGATTATTTTTGCAGTGGCAGGCCCTGAATTTTGCACATGAGCAATGCTCAGTTAATGCTTTGTACTGATGCTATGGGCCACACCATGTGTGGGAGACAGCAGTGTATGTGGGAGCCACTTAGAAACATCAACTAGCAGGGCAATAAACAGGAGTCCCAGAGAGCAGTGTGCTGGAAAAGGGGAAGGTATGAAGAATGCAGAAAGAGAACCCAGGATCTCCAGGGTAGGTGGCAGCTACAATTATCTATGCATGGTCAGTGACATTAGGATGTGACATCATCTGCCTCCGCTCAACAGGAAGCCACCAAGTATGGTGCTGTAATTTCTAACTACAAATTTACCTGTTTTCCTTTTCTAAAATGAGGGTGAAAGACAGCATAAGATCTTCTACAAAAGGAGACAAGCTGATAATTCCAGAAAAAGAGATTTAGCACTCTTAAGCATTTACGAGAGCACAGTGACATTATTTTGACATCGTCTACCATGACACAGAGCAGTGGTTCTCAACCTTCTCCATGCCACATTCCTTTAACACAGTTCTTCATGCTGTGGTGACCCTCGTCACAAAATTATTGCCCTGCTACTTCATAACTGTAATTTCGCTACTGTTATGAACCATGACGTAAATCTCTGATACGCAGGATATCTGATACGAGACCCGAGAACCACTAATGTAGAGGCAAATGAGTAAAGATTCAGTGTCCCTTCACAAGCAGTGAGAAGGAAGTGAGTTCCTGTATTCAGCCCTGATGAACTCTGTTAGCCTCTTAGAAGATTTGGGTGCATCTCACCGTGATGAAAACAGCATATTTAAAGTTTAGTAAATACCACACTGTATATGTTTAATTGGCATACATCGTCATTAGTTACGTCATTTACAGTCATGGCTGTAAAGACTCTTGGTTTTCTGTGCCTGTCCTCAGATACTATCACATTCCATAAAATGCTGTCTGTGTATTGAGATGACCAGCGAACACTTGATTGAAACAACATGGTACATTTTAGAGTCACTCCATGTCTTTAACTTGTCCCAATTTCACATTTCATTTAGCACGAAATACTTACGCTAGACGTGGCTTCTGCAGAAGGCAAGCTTGAAGCCTCATCTCCTGGTTATTTTATATGTTGAGAACCAATGCAGTAGAATCCAGAATGTATCATGTGGGTATAATCCCCCAGGACTAGCCCTGTCTTTAGTTCATTTGTCTACATTTATTTGTTTATTTATTTATTTAACATGAGCTCACAAATACCATGTGTCCCCTGGAAAAGGCTGGCTTTGGCTTCTCTAGAGTGCTAGGGACTGAACGTAAGGTATCTCCCATGCTAGGCAAGCCCTCTACCGCACAGCTGTTTCCTCAGCTCAGCGTTTACTGTTAAGTCCATATTTGAAAAACAAAAATCTGCCTTTCATGATACATGACTAATAGAAGTTTTCTCATAAGTTAGCTTGCACCATAGTCTTGCTAAAGACCTATATTTCACATATATCTAAATCTCTCTCTCTCTTTTGCTGTCATAGATTCATAAAAAGATTGTCTACGCTTTCCTTTTCTGTTAGCACTTCTTCAGTAGAAAATATTTTATTTATAAGCTTTCAATAGTCCACATCTATCATGGATTTCTTTTTTGTGTCTTTAGTGCTCTCTCTCTCTCTCTCTCTCTCTCTCTCTCTCTCTCTCTCTCTCCATACAAACCATCTTTGTATAGACATCCCTTGGTCATTTGGCCAGGATCCTAGACTAGACTATAACTTTGAGGCAGGTAGAACTCAGGGGCCATGGCAAGGCAGAAGTAGAAATCTAAGAGGTGCAAGAGAGCGACTCACCTTCCATCTTTGTCCTCACTGATTCCTAGATACCTGGAAACTGGTTCCTCCTTGTACGGTCACACTGCCATGTTTTCACTAAATAGATGCTACTTGAATCACAATATGGACCACCTGAGGAAATTCTACATTCATGCGTTATCAATGATTAAGCCTTTTTTGTTACATTGTACTTGAGATTGAATAGATAAAGTATCTACCTTTATAATTTAGTAGACTAACTGATTTCAAATGACCAGTGGTTAAAATTTCCCACCAGTGGTTTTGAACTGTTCAGCCATAAAATTGAAGGCTGGGTTCAACCCTAAATGCCAACAGACAGAAAAACAAGCAAACAAACAAAACAAACAATGAGAAAAAACACAAATGAAAAAGTGAAAAGCTTCACAGGGCACAGACCGAGACAGCCAGTGTTGTCATGAGCTCACAGATGCCATGTGTCCCCTGGAAAAGGCAATCTCTGACCTCTCTAAAGTCCATGTCTTTCTTCATAAGGCCAAGTGCGTGCATTTTCTCCGACCCTGTCTGCTAACCGGTCATTTATCTTTCCCTTTTGAGAATCTGAAATGATATTTTTGAATTGGCTTTGCAGAACAATTGCCTAAAATGACAATTTTTGTACTGTAGGAAGCTTTGAAAGGAAAAAGAGTTTAAACAAGCTGTCAGGATGACCCCAGTCAGCTCCTAAAGAGCGCATGATGTTAAAGTCAAAAGAAAAAATAAAGTCCCCTGCTGGAACCGCAGCCTGATTCCAAAGTTGGGGACAACCTGAGCTCAGATCTGAACTCAGTGTGAGCTCCCATTGTAGGATATGCAGGAGTGGCATCTCCTACAGTCTAAGCTGAGCATGAGCAAAGACTCCGACTCACATCTTTAGGGCCAGGAGCCTCTCCTCTGCTTGTTCTGCTCTCACTTGTGAACAGTTAGCCAAAACCCTTAAACCAGTGTGTTATGTTAGTGCTTCTTTGCTGCAGTCTTTGTTTCGTCTCATGGTCTTGGAGAGATAACGCATTAGATCACTTAGCCCTTGCGGGTTTTGACGTGTGGTAGAGAATCATGTCATGGCAGATATATGAGGTGAGGAAGACTGCTTAATCCCACAGCTGCCAGGAATTAAGACAAGCAAGAACCGTGATCCTACATCACAGTATCCCCAATGACCTAACTTCCTCCCAGTAGGCTTCATCTAGTATCCTACCAGTGACACTGAAGGCTAGCAACCAAGTCCTCAACACACTCACCTTTGGAGGATGCTTAAGATCCATACCATGGCAACCAGAAGAAAAGATGGCTCGAGACTCAGTCACTGCACGTTCTTAGTTACTGTTGGTTTTTTTTTTTTTAAGATTTATTCATTGTATGTATGTGACTACACTATCAGTGTCTCCAGACACACCGGAAGAAGGCATCAGATCCCATGATGGTTGTGAGCTACCATGTGGTTGCTAGGAATTGAACTCAGGACCCCTGGAAGAGCAGCCAGTGCTCTTAACTGCTAAACCATCTCTCCAGCCTTCCTTCCTTACTCTTTGTTTACAGGACACTTGGCTCTCGGAGGACAGAAATCCATGGGCAAGTTTACCCCACATCTCCGATCAATTTGATCTGCAGCTGATCAATATGAAGGCTTGTTTGGGTGCTATAATTATTTCTTCAGAATTTCAAACAGAAAGCCGTGACAAAGATACAAAGTTGCCATGGACTTCTTTTGTTCATCTTGGCTTTTTTTGTTGTTGTTGTTTTTTAATTTCCACTTACAGAATGCTTTCTTTGTGCCTATAGTAATAGTTTGTTCATAGATAGAAAGATATAGGAGTGCCATTAAGCCAGGCTGACAGGAACCTTAACTGGGTAAGACAGAAACAAACAATCTTGTGGGTTCTAGTGAGTGGACATGAGAAGCCATAAAATCACAAGATCATAACAGGAAATGCTTTCCTCAGAAACCTAGCCCTTAAGATATGCTAAATTTGTGATTACTGTGTGAATTGGGGCCAGAGGCTAAAGATTGCTTCTTACTTCAATTCCCAGCATTGAATTTGGGTAGCTCACAACAACCTGTCACTCCAGCTCCAGAGGACATATCTATAGTTTTAGCTGGCATCAACACATGTCCCAAAACATACCTCCACACCTACATATAATAAAAAAATAACAAAATACCTTTTTAAAACCATGTCAAGAAGGAAAGAAGGAAAGCAAAGAAAGATACATACAGCTACTGAGATCATAAAAGAAAACAGTTACCATGTCAAAGAACTTGGAAACGGCTTCCACCCAGTGTGGTGATAATGATTTCAGCCCAGTGCAGTGCTACTTCAGTGTGATCCCATCCCTCAGAAGCTGAGGCAGGATTGAGTGCTCCAGCCTGGGCTCTGTAGCAAGAATCTGTCTCAGAAAATAAAACAGCAGTAAGATTGTATTTCATAGTTTCCTTGTCCCAGGGTGAGCCTTACAGCCTTACAAAGGTGAGAAAGACCTTTCCAGTAACGCATGAAAGCTGCTTCTAGGAACAGCCTGAAGTCCCCCAGAAACCCACCAGGGGTGTGTAGTCACAGAAAAGAACAGTATATATGTACCAACGAAAATGCTAACTCCTTGTCTGTGTTCTTCATCCCTCAGGTCTTTGCCCAAGACGGGTCTGGAACTTAACAGGGTTCCCATGACCCCTGTGATTGCTTCCAGTCAGCAATGAAAGGGTTATCGGGTAGCCGCAGCCACCACCATGGGATCACCTGCGAATCAGCCTGTGACTCCTTGTCACACCACTCAGACCACAAGCCGTACCTGCTGAGCCCAGTAGACCACCACCCTGCGGACCATCCATATTACACCCAGCGGAATTCTTTCCAGGCCGAGTGCGTGGGGCCCTTCAGCGACCCGCTAGCCAGCAGCACCTTCCCGCGCAGGCACTACACCTCGCAGCAGGAGCTGAAGGACGAGAGTGCCCTGGTGCCACGCACACTGGCCACCAAGGCGAATCGCCTCCCCACCAACCTGCTGGATCAGTTTGAGAGGCAGCTGCCCCTCAGCCGGGATGGCTATCACACGCTACAGTACAAGCGCACCGCTGTGGAGCATCGCAGCGATAGCCCCGGCCGCATCCGTCACCTGGTCCACTCGGTCCAGAAGCTCTTCACCAAGTCTCATTCCCTGGAGGGGCCATCCAAAGGCAGCGTCAACGGGGGCAAGGCTAGCCCGGACGAGTCGCAAACTGTGAGATATGGCAAACGCAGCAAGAGCAAGGAGAGGCGATCAGAGTCCAAGGCTAGATCCAATGCCTCTAATGCCTCCCCTACCTCTCCCAGCTGGTGGAGCTCGGATGACAACCTGGATGGCGACATGTGCCTCTACCACACGCCGTCGGGTGTGATGACCATGGGCAGGTGCCCTGACCGCTCTGCTTCGCAGTATTTCATGGAAGCCTACAACACCATCAGCGAGCAGGCAGTGAAAGCTTCCCGGAGTAACAATGACATCAAGTGCTCTACCTGTGCTAACCTGCCAGTCACGCTGGATGCCCCACTTCTGAAGAAGAGTGCCTGGTCCTCCACTCTCACCGTGAGCAGAGCCCGAGAGGTTTATCAGAAAGCCTCGGTGAACATGGATCAGGCCATGGTGAAGTCCGAGGCTTGTCAACAAGAGAGGTCCTGCCAGTACTTACAGGTACTATCTATGTTAAATGATAGATGCTGTGAGATTGTTCATGACTGGGTGGTGTGATCTTTGCTCCTGGGTTCTAGTCTCGGCTCTATTCTGAACTGTCTATATGAACACGGCCAGACCATTTATCATTTCGGTGATTAATTGAAGCTATCAGGGAAAAACTCAAGGAGACACATTCTATCAGCTTCATTCATTTCTACTGAGAGATGAGAGATGGCGCATGCGTCTTCCTCGTTGCGGTAATTATCTCCGCCTGCCCCACTACCGAGACACCGAATAGCAGGATGATGCCCTGCAGAGGTGGAGACAGGCAGTTTGGGGACCTGCTAAGCACAGCTGCAGAAGCCCAGGACAACAGAGGAGAGGAGGGTGCCGTGAAAGCATCAGTGCAGTAAAATACAATTAGTGTCAGCATGTAAATCCCACACACGAGCAGGCGGCTCTTCCCTTTCCCCTTCTGCTCCCGTTTCCCCCTTCTGCCTCCAGTTTACTTAAATGCGATTCACCTGGATAAAAATATCCGCACAGGCAGGCAGGACTGTCTTCCCTCTTTTCCTGCCTCCAGTAAGACGCAAGGTTCCACATAATGATCCTCGTGGGTTCCCGGCCCCGCCCCCTTTCAGAGCATCCGGTTTCTCTTTCTTTCCTGCTGCCGCTATCTTTCAGTGAAAGTTTTTAACAAGACCATAAAAACATAACCATCTCCATTCTCTCCTTCAAAAGAAATGCAAGGAAAAATTCTTCCAGTGAGAAGATGGTCATGTTTCCTTCCTTAAACCCTTTCTGATCAATATAGGTTTCTTGGGAGTACCTATCCTGAGCCCTGAGAATAGTCTAGGCTGGCACTGCTGGGCAAGGACAGAGACAGGACTTAAGTTCAAAGTTTAAAAGAAGCTACCATGTCGCAATGCATGTTAGTGTTTATCGTGGGAAGTAGGGCTGCCTAGTTTATTGCATGATTGTTCTGTGTATAAATAAATCATCAAGAAAAGCTGGAGAGGTTTCTCAGTGGTTGAGAGCACTGACTGTTCTTTCAGAGGACCCAGGTTCAGCACCCACATAGTGGTGGCAACCATTTGTAACTTCAGTTCTAGGAGACCCGACATCATCCTCTTCTGACCTCTGCAGGCACCAGGCATGCACATGGTACACATACATACATGCAGGCAAAGAACTAATGATAACTTTCAAGCTAAAACAGTTTATTGGACCCACTTGGTATAGAAAAAAAAGTGAACTCAAATAAAAGTTTAGTGGGTTATACTGTTAGCATGTGGCAGAAATAGGACTAGCAACCAAGTCTGTTCACAAAATGACCATTCTGGAGGCTCCAAGCTAAGGATTTAGAAATGACTTAAGCACATAGGTTTTATCCAATATTGAGAGTACTTTGATAAAAAGAAAATAATTACCTTGAAGAAAGGATAAGAAAGGAGGTAGAGATGTTTAGAAACTGGCGTGTTTTCTATGAAAAGGCTCTTTTAGTAAGACTGTTAAAGCCCGTGTGTTCTGGTGGGATAGGCAAAACGAGAATTAGACTTAAGAAGGTTGCTGTTCGTGCACCTAACACCAGCGACGGTTTGTAATATGATGTTTATCTATACTTGTACAAAAGTTTACGTTCTCCATCTTGAAATTTATTTTCCTTTTTTTGTTTTTTTGCTGTTGTTGTTGTTGTTGTTTTGCCTTTTAAATTCAAAATCTCAAAAAGCAGTAAAGTATGCGAAGACAGACAAAGGAAAAAGAAATTGGGTGTGAGCTGCAAAGTCACTGCGTACTGGACGCTGTGGTCAGTGTGTTCCGTCCTCACAGCTGTTCCGAGAGCTGGGTTAGTAAGACGATCTACAAAAGGAAAAACCGCAGCTTTAACATACTGAGGCGTTTTGACCTATGACCAGGAGGTCGAAACTTGGGCTTATCCCGTACTTCATTCGGAAGCTAAGTGTAGAGTCATTTTAAACATTCCTCAGTTACATCAGAATGAAATCTTTAACATCAAGTGTGGGGCTTAATACAGGCATGTCAGTGCCTCTCACTGTCATGGCTAGAAGCCCCTACTTTTGAATTACTTATCTTCCTTAGGCTAGTTTTATATATATATATTATATATATATATATATATATATATATATATATATATATATATGTATATGTATATATATGTATATATATGTATATATATAATTTATATATATAATATTTAAATAATTAATATAAATAAAATTAATTATTATAATATAAATATAAATTATAAATAATTATAATATTAATTATAAATAATATAAATTTATTAATAATATAAATAATATATATATAAAATGTTTACGAAAGCCATAAGAAAAACTGGAGTGAATCATCCACTCACATATCTGACACCCAGTTAGGCACACGGAAGACAATACATTTCTTGTTTCTCTCTGCCCCACTCCCCTCTTGCTACCTAAAACAGTGGTACCTTTATTTTTTTTATTATTATTCATTCTCGAAACTGTTAAAAAGTTAATATTTTGTTTCATAGGTTGGGCAAGAATTAATCCTGAGTGGTGTTTATCCATCTTTTTAAATATGCACTGAAATCTGTGTTGCAACTTATTTAATAAATGTTGGCATTTATTGAGTTCCTGTTCTGTAGAAGGTCTTCAGTGTGAAAGGCTAATGATGGTTCTGTGTCTTAGGAGGGGGCCCGACCATGTCAGTAAGCGGTCAACATGGAGAACCACCCTACCCCTTGTGTTGAGGCTGGACTGTTCTGGCACAGAAAAGGAGGGAAATACTGAATAATAGTGAAGAGATAGAAAGTAGGAGATGCCTCCTGAGTCCCAGGTTCCAACAATTCTCTTTCTTCTAGAAAAAGAGAGAAAGAATATGATATCCTGGTGATATTCTTCTCAGAAAATAGGATTATCTGCCTCCCATCAGCTCTTGTGGGACAGTTTCATGTATTTCAAGTGATTCCTTGAAGCAAACTTGAAGAAATAAAAAGAGTTGTTTAGTTTTGTTTTCTAGTGAGATCACTGTAGGCGTCGGCTGATTTAAAGCTGGCTCACCTGGCGCATCACGGTCACAAGGTTTAGTTAACACACAAAGTTCCGCTCCACGGGGAACACCAGGCGTTTAGTCCCTATGTGCTGCTAACTGATGACATTGCTGGAACCGTCCTTCAGATTTTTGAAGCCTACTTCACCTACTGAAAGACAAGGCCCTTGGTTCTAGAAATCTCTAATCTCTCTGCACTTTTTTTTTATTTAAAATTGTAAATTGAGTACCTCAGTGTACAAGTTAGAGCAGTCTCTAAGATTTGGAAGGCCCGTGACTCTCGATTTACAAACGCCTCGCTGAAAGCACAGATGCTATGTCATTTGTTCTTTGAAATTTTAAAAGCATTTCACGAGGAAAAAAAAATAGACTTAGAAACCTATGTTGAATTACTTGACCAAGGGCACACAGAAAGATGGCGAACCGAAACTCATTCTTTTCCCTTGAAAGTCTGAATTCTTTCCATTCTCCAGGCTCAGTCCCTATCCTCTCCACAGAGAGAAGACCTACAATCATATGCCCTCGAGGTGCTAGAAACCGTCAAGATCTCCTCTAATACTCAAAACAACTTTGAAAAATACTACGTTTGCTTTAAATATTTTCCACAACTTTTTCTCACGCAGAAAATGGATTTCCATTCTGATATTCATATTTCTATCCATTTGCCTAACAGATTCCTGTTGTTTTCATTCTGCTCCGCTCTCACTGTCACCTCTTCTCAGGAGTCCTCTTTTGCTTTAGCTTTATATACAAAGCTGACAGGGACACAAAGAATGAAGAATAGGCAGGGCAGCCAGCAGCTGACCCCAAGTCTGTCCAGGTCTGTAATATGTTTCAGACGTAGATGTTAATGGTTTATTTTATTATCTGTCTTCCTCTGCATCAAACTCGTGTGCACTCGACCTGCAGTACGTTCATGCCAATGAAAGAATGTAAATGTAAAATTGCCTGCCAGCAGAAAGGAAAGCATAATCCCTAATTTGATTCCAAACTAAATTAGTAACCCGTAACTAATATTCTTCAGTGAATCACTGAACAGATATATATTCACCAAATAAGAGAATGTAAATATTAAAATGCATCTTCTGTCTTTGGAGAGTTTCACACAGACTGAAGTTAAGGCAGCTTCTTGCCATGACTGTGTAAAAGTTGAGGGGTCTGTATGTGTCTAGCCTGTGACTGACAAAGACTGGCTTGCAGTCACTGTACATTGAAATCAATATACTCAATGGGCAATGTGTGCTCACTCACAAGCTGTTTTAGTTAATTAAAAAAAAAAAGGCCTCCCATTTCCCCAATATTGTTATTTTTAAATGTCAAGAATCAGATGTCTGCTGTTGAGAACTATTGTACCACTGCCAGTGACTGCCTGTATCAGGGCTTGGAGCAGGAGCATGGATTTGAAGACATTAAAACTGTTTAATTCTCAGTTGAGATGTGGTTGGCTTTTGTACATTTGGAATAGAGCATTTATGGCACACCTCAGGGTAAGTGCTAATAGTTAAGTAAACAGAATAGGCTCCGGGGGAGGGTGGTTTTCTTTTTCTTTCTTTTTTCTTTTTTTTTTTTTAAGTAGAATTCTTGGTTGTGTTTCTGCCTCTTTATATAAATGTTCTGAGCTGAGCGAGTGGCATATTAAGCCATTCAGAAGAGAAAGATTTTAGATTTCCAACTGTTCACCTAATAAGAAGGAAAAAAAATCTCTTCGAATCTTGTATTTAGCATTCATCCTTCATCCAGCGGCAGAAACAGGAAAGGGGAAGGGAAACCTCTCCCTCTCCCGTGGAAGTAGAGAGACACACAGAGGGAGCGAGAGAGCGCAGACAGGACCGAGGAAGCCAGAGCTCTCGGAGATGAAGCTGTAGGCAACAAAATGATCGACCTTTTTAAGGCTGAGTGGGTTTCTTCAGTTTGCGTGCAAGTTTCACGAAATGGAAGGACTGACCAGGTTTGGGTATAAACAA